CATTCCACCAGCCTGTGTGAAAGCCAGAGAATCTGCTTCCTGAAAGGCATAATGGTGTGTGATGGAAGGGCCCTACTCACTGAATCACTGCAGAGGCCCCCTTTTACATGTAATATGAGAAAATTAGATTATGTGATTAAAGTTCCATTAACACCCTCTGATTAATGTTCTGAGGATTTTAAAACATCCATGAAGTTTTCAAAAGAATTAACCCCTCTCAAAGAAACATGTTAAGAGGGCTTATATTTAATTGGATAATACTGACTCTTCAGAAAAATTAATCTCTCAACAAAAACTTCCTTTCTGTCTAATAACATATAAGCACTTTACATTAGGAATACTTAAGTGACCAAGATCAGAAAATTTCCACATTTTCTAAGGGCACCAAAGCAAATCTGACCTTGTAACCTCTCCAACCAGACATTCACACATTGACTGATTCTTATCTTTGCTCCATGGGGTTACTCTGGTATGTTTATACAACAACTGAAAACCATTGAGCTATTATAGAATGCAATGGGCCCTCTAACCAACAAAGATGACCACATCCTGGCATGGCTTAGTGCGACAAGCATTGGACTTGGCATTAGGAGCCCTGCATTTGAATCCTGTTTCAGATCCTTGCCTGGGGGGGGGGAATCACCTAACTTCTGTTTCATCATTTGTAAATTGGGAGGCAGCCAGGTGGCCCAATGGCTAGAGTGTTAGAATTAGGAACACCTGCATTCAAATCCTCCCTCAGACTCTTACTAGCTATGTGATGGGGGCAAATCACTTCACTTTTTCCAGCCTCAGTTTCCTTGTCTATAAAATAGGGATAATACTAGCACCTATCTCACATGGTTATCATTAGGCTCAAATGAGATAAAATGAAAAAGACTACGTAAATGCTGGCGGAGTACTGCAGCCTGAGCAGAAGCTAGGGGTAGGGAGAGGTCAAGGCTGGCCACCAGTCTGAATGAGTCCAGGCTGAAGCTAGTCCTGAGAAGGAACCTCTCCTGATGAGAGGTTTAGAAGGGGGAAAGGGAGAAGGCAACATGGCGGAGTAGAAGCTGAGTGACAGACAAAACAAGAAATGGGCCACATTCTGGGATTGAGACTTTGCGGGCCAGTTGGACACAAGAAATGTCATTGGGATGGATTCTGAGTTGCTGAAACCTTTCCCCAGTACAAAGCCCCAGGCTGTAATGTTTTCTCTCCTCCCTCTCCTTGGACTCCCTTATGAAAGCCTGCAGCATTTCCCTCTGGGCACCCAAAAAGTCTGTTAACCATTCTTGATTTGAAATGTTCACTTTGAGCATTATAAGAATATAAGTCATTCCCCAACTGATAAATGGTCAAAGGATATGAACAGGCAGTTCTCAGATGAGGAAATTAAAGCCATCCGTAGTCATATGAAAAAAAGGCTCTAAATCACTATTGATTAGAGAAATGCACATCAAAACAACTCTGAGGTACCACATCACACCTAGCAGATTGGCCAACATGACAAAACAGGAAAATGATAAATGTTAGAGAAGATGTGGGAAAATTGGAACACTAATGCATTGTTGGTGGAGGTGTGAAATAATCCAACCATTTTGGAAAGCAATTTGAAACTATGCCCAAAGGGCTATAAAAATGTGCATGCCCTTTAACCCAACAAAAGCACTTCTAGGGCTATATCCCAAAGAGATCATAAAAATGGGAAAAGGACTGACATATAAAAAATATTTATAGCAGTAGTCCTTATTGTGGTGGCGAAGAATTGGAAATTGAGGGGATGCCCACCAATTGGGGAATGGCTGAACAAGTTGTGATATATGAATGTAATGGAATACTATTGTGCTGTAAGAAACGATGAGCAGGTAGACTTCAGAAAAACCTGGAAAGACTTGTATGGACTGATGCCGAGTGAAGTGAGCAGAACCAAGGGAATGTTATACACAGTAATAGCCAGATTATGTGATGACTAATGCTGACAGACTTAGCCCTTCTCAGCAATTCAAGGATCTAAGACATCTCCAAAGGTCTCATGATGGAAAATGCTATCCCTCATCCAAAGAAAGAGCTCTGGAATTTGAATGCACATCGAAGCATACTATTTGCTCTTTTTCTCTTCTGTTTTATTTTGTTTCCTCTTTCTGGTGGTTCCTCTTATTGGTTCTAATTCTTCCTTAGAACATGACTAATGTGAAAATATGTTTAATAGGAATATATATGTATAGCTTATATCAGATTGTGCATAGTCTTGGGTAGGGAGGGGGGAAAAATTTAAAACTCAAAAGCTCATGGAAGTCATTGTTGATAAATCAAAATAAATTAATGAAATATTCGCTTTGTCTTTATAAATGGTGTCAACCCTGGGTTGTTCACAGTCTCACAAGCCCCAATACCCAATTGCTCGATTATTAAAAGAAGTCCCCTCAGACCCAAGTTCACAGTGAACACCCCAGTCAGGGTGGACAATCTACTAATTTTAAGCTCTTCAGCTATAGCATTGATTCTCATTTAGTGGTTTGGGAAGGGGATTTGCAAGTACCAGGAGGCAGCTGATGGCACAATGGAGTCAGAAAGACCGGATTTCAAATCTATCATCAGACACTTTACTAGCTATAATGACCCTGGGACAAGTCACTTAACCTCTGTTGGCCTCAATGTCTTCAATGGTAAAATGAGAATAGTAATAGTATCTACTTAGCAGAATTGTAGTGAGGATCAAATGGGATATTTGTAAAACGTGCTTACCACAGTGCCTGGCAAATCATAGGCTCTATGTAACTGCTTATTCCTTTCCCTTCCCCCTCTGGGCCAAGTAGTCTGTGCTAAAAATTCTTAAGATTGCCTTAAGCAGTAAATAACTACAAAGATCATGAAATATTATATTAAAGCATCAATATGTCAATTATTAATTTTAATAATTAGTGAATTGAAATTTATTAACATGGTTAATTATATTAATAAATATATTAAACTATTAAATTATACTGGGGTTCACAACATTTTTTGTTGTCGAAAATTCTTTAATAGTGCCTTAAGCAGTAAATAATTGTAAAGTATTTTATGTATTGTATATTAACATGCTAGGGACTCGAAATACATTTCTTTTTGTGCTTCATGAAAGGGATTCACAAGACAAAAAATGTGGGAAACCATTGAACTACAGTTTTCACTGGGGGAGAATTTTTTTTAAAAAAGTGATCATGGTCACTAACATGGGAAACAAAATTATTAAGGGAGCATGCCTGGGAATCTCAATTCTGGACCCAGAGGTAAGAATTTCACCACAATTTCTTCATCCTTGGAATGGCTACACTCTGTGCCTCAGTTTCCCTAACCTGTACAATAAGGAAGTCACCCCTGGCTTACCTAATAATTGCAGACACTCATGCAGTACTATAAATTTTACAAAGTGCTTTATATATATTATCTCTTTCAATCCCCAGTACAGCCCTACAAAGTATTAGCCTCTCCATTTTACAGATGAGGAGAATGAGGCTGAGATCGTTAAACTGCCAAATGTTACACACCTAAGTATCAGAGGCAAGTTTTGAACCCAGCTCAGCTCCTAACTACAAGTTCTACACTTTTGCCCACTACACCCCCCTCAGCCTCTCAAAAATCAATAACCGCATTTCACATTTATGTCACACTTTAAAGTTTCATAAAACACATCTCTGCCACTTCCATGTGACAATACCGCAGTGCAAATATTGTCCTTATTTTGCAAATAAGGACCCACAGTTACAGAGATAGGATGATTGTCTGTGGTCACAAATCTCTCCAGGATGTGGTAGAGCTAGAATACAGAGCCAAGGTCCCTGGCTCAGTTTCAGACCCTTTCCACTTGACCTCCCATGGAATCCAGGATGTACAGTTAAACAAGGCCTGACAAGTCATGTCATCCAACCTCCTCCTTATACAGATAAGAAAATAGACTCAGAGAAAGTTAAGCAATTTGCCCAAGATCACACATCTAGTAAAATGCTGGAGCCAGGAATTAAACCCAAGTTATCTGGCTCCAGGGCAGCTAAGTGGAGCCATAGTGCATAGAGTGGCAGGCTATGGCGTCAGAAAGACTCCTCTTCCTAAATTCAAGTCTGGCCTCAGACTCTTACTGGCTGTGAGACCCTGGGCAAGTCACTTAACCCTGTTTGCCTGAGTTTCCTCATCTGGAAAATGAGCTGGAGAAGGAAATGGCAAACCACTCCAGTATCTTTGCCAAGAAAACCCCAAATGGGGTTATGAAGAGTCAGAAAGGACTGAAATGACTGAACAACGACCTCTGACCACATTCAGCACATTTTCCACTAAACTATATATACCGTAGCCTTCCTCACTGAGGGTTGATATTATAAAACTGCTCTGAAGTTCAAATACGTAGCTTTTGTTATTACCTAAATTTCATTACCCAAATTCCAAGCACTTCCCATGCTTTTGTTGGGCTGGGATTTTTCTACATTTAGTTTTATAGAAAATAAATGAGACACCAACTAGCGAGCCTGGGGATCTTTCAACTAAAGGACCAAGTTCTTTGGTGCATGATGAGATTTATTGTCTCTACTTTTGATGAATAAACGAAGTGCTTATTATGTGCAAAGCACTGTTTTAAGTATTGGCTCTATTGATAGAAAAGTAAGATGTTCCCCGCTCTCAAAAAACTCAAATTCTAAACAGGGAGACAGCACGCATAGAAGGTTTTGGGGTCAATTCATGGAAAGGTTCCCTGGACATTAGGGTATCAGCAACACAAACGTTAACGCCTTTCATACAAAGGAAACACACCCCGGTAAATAAAGGAAATGGGGCACCCTCCTAGGCAAGTCTCTTCCCCTCTCTGGACTTCACTTCCTCCACTATAAACGAGGAAGTCCAATAAGAAGATTTCTAAGATTCCCCCCAGCTGACATCTTGGCATTCATGGGCCAATCTTCCTTACACCTACACTTTCTAATGCCCCCAACACTGGCAGGAAAGACAAGGGTAGACCCACATCGTCTATTTGAAAGAAACTTTCTTACCTTGAGTGTGTCGCAAACCTTGGGAAACTCGTGGACTTTTATTTCTTCAGTATGCTGTTGTTCTTAGATCATCACAGGCCCACAGCAAGGTTTCCACTCAGCATTAAGTTGCTCATCTGTGGCTTCTCCGCAACCCAAGAACTATCCCTCCTCTGGAGCCCCAAGGCTAAGGCTTTCTTCTCTTCCGCTTTCTCCTCCTCCTCCCAGCTGAGCTTATGGGATTCTTTAAGGCAAAACTTGGCAGGTGTGCTGGGAAGTTACTTACACCTGGGTCACGCCCCCCTCCACAAAACTTCACCTGACTAGGTGTTATGGAATCTCTGATACTATTTCCTACTGAAATGGGGGGCCAGGAAAGGGGTGAACTGACAGAGGAATTTGGTTGTAAGAAAAGTGTAGGGAAGAATTTTAAAGGAGAATAACCTGTGAGCAAAAGGAGAGCAGCCCAATGCAGTTTCAATGGCTTTTCTGGATAACTAGTGAGTGCAGGTATCTCGAGGGTAGGGGCACTGGGTGAGCAGTGGGTAATAAAGCACTACAATTTTCTTAATTGACACAAACATTCTGTTTTACCCAAATAGAGACTTCTCATCAAACACTCAAATCTCCCAAACAGTTCAGCAAAATAGCCTAATATAGTGATTAATACACTGCAATCACTACTATAGGGATTGCAACTGCTAACACATGTTGCATTCCACATGTATAGCTTATCACTGCCCAGCAAAAAGATAGATTCTTTAATGATTGTGTTTGACCTGAGTTTTGTTGTCTTCTTTACATTGTCTGTACCCCTTCATAAAAGTCTTCCCATATTCATCTTCCCATATGTCTTCATACCTGTTTTTCCTTCTGGTAGGGCTGACATTTTGAATATTAAAAGGCTAACACTTGGCCATAACTACAGCTAGAGGGGCAAAGAAGGGGCATAGGTGCCAAAAGTCAGCAAATGGGAATTAGTTGGTTTAAGTTGTTTGTAGTTTGAACGAAGAGAATGGATAGAAAGCAATAGAGGTAGCTGTTACATAGTACAGACACCGCACAGTGGTCAGGCAGACTGAGGGTTTAATGGGGCTTTTGCCCTATGAAAGATGTCCAAAATGAAAAACATGTTTCTCCACTTGAAATAAGTATGGGATATGGTCTTTAAAAAAAAAAAAGGGGGAGTTCAAATCCGGCCTCAGACCAAACAATTGACACTTACTAGATGTGCAACCCTGGGCAAGTCACTTAACCCCAATTGCCTTAAAAAAAAAAAAGCATGAGGCCAAATAGGGGCTGCCCAAAATAAAAGGAATCAAGGGCACATCAGACCAAAGGGAAAACCTTAGGCAAGTAAACCCAACTCACTGCCAGGCCACCCATTTTGTTATTTAAAGTCTTTAAAATGACTTGATAGAATGCAAACTTAAAAAAAAATGCCATACGTGGTAAATGCAGTTTCATCCCCAATCCTCTTTCTCCATCCTTCTTTGTACTCAATCAGTCATTCAGTCAGTTAGGGGGTGCAGTGGATAGAGTGCTTGACCTAGAGTTAGGAAGACCAGAGTTCAAATCTGGTCTCAAACCCTTCTAGCTGTGTGACCCTAGGCAAGTCACTTAATATGTCTGCTTCATTTTCCTCAACTGCATAAAGAGGATAATAGCACCTACCTCCTAGGATTGTTGTGGGAATAAAATGAAATAGTATTTATAAAGAAGTACTTTACAAACCTTAAAGTACTATATAAACATTAGGCTAGTTATTATTAAGCATTTCCTATATATCAAGCACTGGGCTAAGTATTGGGGATATAAAGAAAAGCAAAAAAAAAAGATGAATGTTTGCATATGGGAATGTTTGTGTTTGTTAATGACAGTTAAGTTAAAAATTTTTTTAAACAATGGCAAATATCACTTTGGAAACATTTCTTGGATTTTCACAAATTTGTAAATAAACCTGAAGGGAAATGTTTTCTAAAAAGACATGACTTGATAGTCATGATTTATTCATTCATCATTCATCCAGAATTTACCAGACCTCAGTTTCTCCATCTGTAAAATAAAGGGGTTGAGCAAGGTGGCTTTCTAAGGTCCCTTCCAACTCCAAGTCTATAATTTTATGAGTGGTTGCCAATTGCACAACACTGTACTAATCATTAAAGGCAGTGAGGATGCCCCAAAATGACTTGATCTGAATTTCTTTGAACTATTTCTAGAAGGCTAGCTCCTGCAAGGGATACCAAAAGGAAAAAAAAAGTAGAGGGCATGAACTTGACCTATCTACAAGTTGTTAAAATCTAGTTGGGTTTTTTTAAATGAAATTAAAATGGCCATTATAAAGAAAAACAACTTTGAAAGAAGGAAGAGCTCTGAGTAACACAATGATAGTTCCAAAGCACTGATGAGAAAGCATGCTAGCCACCTCCTAACTAAGGGTGATGGATTCAAGATGCAGAAGACAAATCCAATTTGTTTTTCCTGACAGTGCAGATCTGTCACAAGGGTTTTGTTTCTCTATTTTCTTTTTTAATGAGGTGGGAATGTTTGGGGAGAGCTAGGATAGGGATGGAGTTGCCAAAAAGAAATTTTAAAAAAGAAAAGTTAAAGAGGGTCACTGAAGAATAATTATTTTTAAATGCTTATAAGTGAAATTCAAAAGGAATCACAGACAAGCAAGACCTGTTAAAAGAAAGGCAAAGTGCATGTGTACACAGAATGAGATTTGTACCTTTATGTATACCCTATTTCAGTTATACTTGTTACATATAAGGAAGTGATTACTTTATTCAGTATTTGTTAAGTTCAGAATAAAAAAATAAAATCCTAAAATAATAAATTTAATTTAAATTTAATTTAAATTTAATCTAAAATTTAAAAATTTTGAATGTTGTATGAGGACAATGACTAAAAAGCTTGACCTTAGAGCAAAATTTAGAAAATATGCCATCCTCCTTTCATTGACGAGATAGAGGACTGTGGTTGTGATGGCACTTTCTGTCAGTCACAGTTAATATATTGGTTGGTTTTGCTGGGGAAAAAAATTGCTTTGTTATTTGGTTTGGTTTAGGTTTTATCTTTGTTACAAGACAAGTCTCCCCAGATAGGGGAGAAAGGGAGAATGGAAGCAATCTATTCAGAAATGAAAATGATGAAAAACCAAAAGGTATCAATAAAAAATTAATCAAATTTTCATTTATATAACATTTATTCAACAAACATTTCTTAAGCATCAACTATGAATAAGACCCTGTGTCTTAGTATTGCAAAGGATACGAAGATGACTAAGACATTCTGTATCCTCACAATGTGTATAGTCATTATGGTAGTCTAGAGAACTTCTATGATTTTCCGGGCCAATATTGCTGTGAATAGCCAGACATGCTCCCTTCTCCTACCTGACCCTCAACCAAATCAACCAACCAATGAGTCAACCAAAGAGGATTTTCTAAGTCCTTACTATGTTTCAGACATTGTACTAAGCACTAAGATAGAGATAAAGCAAAAACAGTTCCAGATCTCAAGGAGCTTTCTAACAGGGAAGACGACATATACACATATATACACACACATAAATGTATATATACTACACACATACACACATACATACGTACATACATATATAATTGGTATATATACAAATTTAGATGGAAAGTGCAAGAGGTGGTGCTAGGATAGCATTCTAAGAGGAAGAAATTAGAAAAGGGGAATGTTCCTAGTTGTGGAGCATAGCTGGAGCAAAAGCCTAGAGATAGAGACAGTACATCACATGAGTTACCAGCAAAAGGCCCACTACAGCAGGACTATGGAGTGCATGGAGGGTAGTATTATGCACATGCCAACCGAAAGGCTGTTATAAAAGGCCTCATCTCCATACCTTGGCTTGGAAATCAGCCAAATTCCCATTGGCTCTAGGCCTGGGCTATGCCACTGACCCATTAGCCTTCCCCTACCATTTATTCCCTACATTCACAGCAGGCTGTATGGTCAGGCCTAATGTGCTATGTAGGTCAGAAGAGGACCTTTGACTAGAAAGCTGGTTTACTCCTGTCAAAAAAAAAATGGAGGAATCTGTCTTCTCATGGGGAACCTTGCCTTGCCCCAAGAAACCTAATGAAAATGAGCATTAAGTCTCAAATAAGACATGAGCAGGTATATGGGTCTCAGAATGAATTTTCATCCAGGTGAAATTATCTGAAGGCCTCATTAACTTAAGTCTTGACTTTATTCAGTAATCTTCCTGAGGGAAGACTTGAAGATATGTGAGGAAGGTGAGGAGGAGGGTGCTCAAAGCCAGGGTTAATACTAGATTGAGGCAATCAGATCTTGACTAAGGCAAAAAATTTAGAGGATACTAAAGTAGCATCATTCTGGAGAGTTTCATCCCTTGCCCTTTCCCTCCCCGCCCCCCACCTCCCTGGGGGGTATTACAAATGTCCTCATCCTAGAGGATGATTCCTCCTGGTTGAGCTCCATTTCTGGTACTTGGGCAATTCATGAGCAAGAGAATAAAGTTAATCCACACCATAGCCTCCTCCAACACTCTTTTTACCAACCAACCATAAGGGAAGACACAGAAAGATCTCTTGTTCCAGACCCCACTAATTTAGATATGGTGTAATATGAGTCTGCCTTTCCATTCATTCACTATGGAAAAAGATTTACTAAACAAAGCAATAGGGTAAATGGATTTATAGGAGGCAGGTTTAACCTAGTCAAGAGAACAATTTTCAAGCTCTTTGTAGCACTAATGTGAATATAATTAATATTTCAATTCCAAGAGTCTAACTGGCTTATTAAAGCAAATGCAATAAAACCCGCCAGGGAAAGAAACACTGTCAGCTCATGATCTGAGTAACTGTATGAATTCACTTGAAAACAATAAAACTCCATTTCTTCAAAAAAGATTCTGTAATACAGATGTGAGCAAGTGAAGTTCAGGGAAAATTTGAAAAGCTAGAGTGTGTCCATGACGGTGCAGTCAGGATTGAGGGCATGAGGATGAACTGGCTGAAAAAATTCAGGTTAGACTATAAAAGAGATGAGGGAGTGGAGGTCATGAGATTTTTAAAATATGTTTTTATTATATTAAATATTTCCCAATTACATGTAAAAAAATTTTAGCCATCATTTTTTAA